GTCCCATCTTTTACAATTCCTTTTTAAAAACTCTAGAATCTCTAGATGATATTATGTAGGTGATCGTCCGTATGTTTCAAAATATTGACCGATGCCATTCGAATCGATACATAAAGCTATTCACAGTGGTAGAGCCACGTAGCAGGGTACCGGCACCCCCGGTGACGGAGAATCCCTCGCTGAGCATCCCCGCTCAAACTCCCCTACTCTTTCTAAGCGTGGGTGCTTAGACTGTCCCTCGTATTCTGGGGGGAGGGGGGTTAAATTCCGCTCGAGACTAAACCTGCTCGGGGCAAACGGAGCAATAAGTCAAAGGCTGCCATGCTATCCGTGGATTTCTGCAACATCAGGGGAATTCATTCAAACCTTAACGCTGTCCACAACTATCTGGAAATGGTGAAACCGGCCTTGCTCTTTCTAACTGAGACACAGGTGTCCTCTCCGGCTGACCATCTGTACCCCGGGTAGGAGAGATATGACTCTCCTACCCGGGGTACAGATTAGAACACTCTTTTGTGCCCCGGGCTGGAGTTTGCGTGTACGTCAGAGAGGACATCTGTTTTCGACGCCATGGCAGCCTTGAAGGTATGGACCTGTCCATCTTATGGCTACGCGTAAACAGCGACGGCCATCCCTGCGTCTACGGGTGCCTATATAGGTCCCATAGCGGTAATGCCGACACAGATTGACTGACCGACCACGTCCAGATGGCTGCAGACTCCGTGCTACAACAGATCTCATCCGCAGAGATCGTGATATTTGGTGATTTTAACGACCACCATTCTGAATGGCTTGGTTCTCCTTTAACCGATCATGCGGGTAGATCTGTTTATGACTTTGCTTTGGCATATGGTCCGACACAACTGATTACCTCGCCTACGCGGATCCCAGATGTGGAAGATCATGTACCTTCCCTGTTGGACCTTCTGCTGACCTCTCATCCGTACGGATATCAGGTCTCCATTGATGCACCTCTTGGCTCCTCGGAGCTTTGTTTGATCTGGAGTACAGTGCCACTCATGCCCCCATCGCGGTTGCGTACTGCAGGTTGTCGCCGTGTTTGGCATTATAGGTCAGCCGATTAGGACGGGATGCGATCTTTTTTTGCATCCTACCCTTGGAGGCGGGTTTGCTTCTCGCCGGATGATCCCATATTCCAACATCTGTGGTACCTATCGGAGGCAGAACCCAGCCTTTTTTTGGTCGCTCCTGCAAAATTACATTCCATCATAAGTAGGAGTATTACCAGGCCTGGGCTCGCGCATCGACGTCTCGGGATGTAAATACCAGCGTTCTTAAAAAGAAGTATAATTCTGCTTCCAGATCCTTATAAAGTGTCATTGTCAAGGCAAAGTCAACACATCAAGAATTGGCAAGAAACTTGTTCGTCTTCCTTCGGGAACACGTGCATTCTGGTCTCTCGCCAAGGCTGTCCAAGGGAACTTTTGCCAGCCATCTCTTCTGTCTCTGCACAGGGAGGATGACTCACTGGCCCATCCCGCAAAGGACAAAGCCGATCTACTGGGCTCTCAATTTGCGTCCAACTCGACTCTTGATAACGGGAGAACACACCGCCGACCATATCGCAGTGTGAGTGCTCCATGCAGGATGTGCTGTTTACCCAACGCTGGGATGCACAGAGCACTCCTCTCCCTAGACATCAACAAGTCAAGTGGGCCTGATGGCGTCCCTCCTATGCTGCTAAAGACGTGCGCTCCGGAGTTGGTACCAGTCTTAACGCGTCTTTTCCGGTACTCCTATTTACTAGGCGTAGTCCCGAAATCATGGAAGACAGCCTTCGTGCACCCGATCCCTAAAAAAGGTAACCGCTCTGATCCGTACAACTATAAGCCTATCGCCATCACCTCCTTGTTCTCTAAAATAATGGAATCTATTATTAACAGCCATTTCATGCGGTACCTTGAGGATCACCAGCTGATTAGAGACCGCCAGTACGGTTTTCGTCGCGGTCGCTTGGCTGGTGATCTTCTAGGTTACCTTACTCATAAATGGGCGAAGGCAGTAGAGTCCAAGGGGGAGGTGTTGGCCTTTAGTTTGGACATAGTGAAGGTCTTCGATCGAGTTTGGCACAAAGCGCTTCTTACGAAACTTCATTCCTGTGGGCTTCCCGAGAAATTGTGCAATTGGATCACCAGTTTTCTTGCTGATCGGAGCATCATGGTCGTAGTAGACGGTACATGCTCTGATTACGATTATTTAGCCTATTAACGCTAGTGTTCCACAAGGCTGCGTGCTATCACCAACGCGGTTTCTTCTGCATATCAATGACACATTGCAAATCGGTAGCATTAATTGCTATGCAGACAACAGCACTGGTGATGCTTTATACACCGGCCGTGCCAATATTTCTCGGGAAAACGTTGCCGAGTACCGGGACAGACTTGTGTCTGAAGTCGAGACTTTGTTGAACAAAATCTCGGACTGGGGGCAACTACATCTAGTCTAGTTTAATTCCCAGAAGACACAAGTTTGCGCATTTACCGCTGAAAGGAACCCCTTCGTCGTATCTCCTTAGTTTCAAGGCCTTTCCTTTAATTCTTTCCTCAGCCAGTATCGGATTCGTCGACATATCGAGTGACGTGCAGTTTCGTGGGCACTTGGAAGAGAAAGCCAAATTGGCCTCTAAAAAGCTTGGCGTGTTCAGCAGAGTGGGACTTTATTTCATGCCGACTCACCGCCTGCAACGTTACAGGGCGCAGGTTCGACCGCTCTTCTCCGAAGAGGTCACAGAAACCGTAGCCAGTTGAGGGAGGTGACTGTATCCGCAAAGAACTCATGTAAAGCCCTGTAGTACCTCCCGTGGAGCTCCTTCTCCTTCCATACGGTCTCCCGGTCGGAAATGCTAAGCACTGCTGGTTCCTGCCATTGCTCGTTGGCTAAAGATAGAGGGGTAAGTCCTTTATCACTAGAAATGACGTCATTATAGAATGGATCATCCGATCTTGCCAGGAAGTAATGACGGAAGCTGTACACTTCGCGATTATGCATGGTGAGTGCGCTCAGAAAGCCATGTCCACCATGCTTTCGCGGCAAGTACAGCCTCATTACCGACGATCTCGGATAATGCATCCTATGGGAGGTCATGGTAGTGCGGACTTTTCTATCCAATGCGTTAAGTTCTGTCTGAGACCACTTGAGTATGCCAAAGGTATACATGAGGACAGGCATGACCCAACCATTATATGCGCGTGTCTTATTCACACCGGCTGTTAAGCACTAGTCAAGCGTGCATTAAATACGACGCAAACTGACTGTTTCATACCAGCCTCATAGATACCGATGTTCTGTGACATACCCAGGTATCGGTATGTTTCAGCCTATCGGTATGTATAAGTCTATGCCCTCAGAGTTAGCAACCCTTCCCCTTTCAACATGGAGGACCGCACACTTATCCGTACCCAGCTCCATTCCAATTGAATTGCTAAATTCACAAGTGATGTTTAACAAATCCGTAAGATGGGAGCGACTGGAGGCGAATAACATAAGGTCATCCATATAGAAAAGGTGGGTCACTTTTGTCCCTCCCTTCCGTACCTGAAATTCCCTCCCGGAGCCCTCCAGTAAGGTACTGAGAGGGTTCAGAGAGAGGCAAAACCAGATTGGACTCAGACAATCGCCCTGAAAGATACCCTTTCTTATCCTTATGTTGTTCTCCGCAGCCATCATCCGCTCACCCAGATGACAAAGGATCGTACTCCACTGCTCCATACACTGCTCGAGGAAGTCTCTTACTGTACAGACAATCCTGTACAACTCGAGGACCCTCTTTAGCCATGTATGGGGCACCGAGTCGAATGCCTTTCTGTAGTCTATCCAGGCGGCGGAGAAGTTTCGACGGTTGCGTTTCACCACTTTGCCAATGACCGCGTCAATGAGGAGTGGCTCCTTGGTTCCACGACCACCGCCCCGACATCCATTTTGAGCGCGTGACATCACCTGATTTAGCTCCAAGTGACGAGTGATTCTCGCGCTCAAAATAGATGTCAGTGTCTTATGGTGGGTAGACACGTTATGGGGCGGTATTTGCTCGGATCTGTGGTATCCTGATCTTTAGGAATCAAGTGAGTGATCCCAGTAGTGAGGAGGCTCGGGAGCGACTTCTGATCGAGAGCCTCTTGAAACTGTCGGGCGAGCAGAGCGTGAACCACTACGAACCCCTTCAGCCAGTAATGATGCAGCCCCTCGAGTCCCGGACTTTTCCAGTTCGGGGCCCTACGGACCGCCTCAGCCACGTCTTCCGGCGTTATGGTGACGGGGTCCAAAGGCGCAACACTCGCACTCTGGCTCGCCACAACTTCCATCCAAAGGTTCTCGCTGTGGTTTACGGGCTCTGACCACAGGCCACGCCAAAATGCGACAGTATCAGCCTGATCCGGTCTTGGACCCGCTCCACATACCTCTGGCCGCTCCAATGATTTATAGAGCCTCTTCTGATCACTCTGGAAGAGACGACTCTGGTTGAACCGCCTGCCTCTCGCTAAATCGTCGAATCCAATTCCCCCAGCAGCGATTTTTTTGCTTCAGGTCATCTATGCTCTCCGTTAGTTTCTGCGTAATATCCGTCTAACGCTTGTCCCAGCAAACGCCATTCTAACGGTGCGCACAACCCTCGGTCTATTATTACCCGACCTGAAGCTTGTCAGTCTGCCGATAAGGACCCTTGCCTTTGCGATACTGTCCTCGATTTTTTTTCTCCAGGCTGGGATGGCGCTACTTTGTTAAGTAGCGCGTCCAGCCATGAAAAGTTTGGCGCCAATAATACGGAATACTGCCAGTGCGGCGCCAAAAAGAATTGAGTCCGTCTCGCAAAGGTCCCGGCTGGCTTCCAAATAGGTCACCAGCATTGGGTTAAGAGCCCGCACGAGCCCGATTCCGCTTGCTTAGTGGTATGCGGGGAAGTCGCGGTCGATTTTCTAGAGGTGTACTGCGCGTTTCCAGCTCTTCCAATATGATCCTTATTTTCTCTAGTTCTTGGGAGACTATTCCATCATCACTTCAACCACAACTGGAATATCCACGGCAGCATCCACGTATGCAGTTTGCTGCGCAATTAGTGGCGCCTCATTCCCAGCCGTAGCATTTCCATCCGATGAGGGAACAGCCTTACGTCGTAGTCGTTCGAGTTCGGCGTCACCAAATACGTTTGAGTGCAGGATATAGCGAACTCGGTCTGCCAGGTTTTGCTCACTGACGGATAGAGATGGCTCCAGCTCTGCAAAAAAGCGATGCATCCGAGCCCGATACGCCAAACATCCAGCTTCTTCCCCTTTTGTCCTAAAGTACGCCCGCAGTGCGTTTGCGTTAATTATTTGTGACCAACGCATGCGACGTGCTCCACCAGCGGCGAGTCCGAGAAGACCCAGCCGACACCAAGCCTTCTGGTGGGGATGATGGATGCGGGGGGCTGCTAGGTGGTCTTGCAGCACCCCGCGCTTGGTTGGCGGCCCGCATGCTGTCGCGTCCAGCGCCAGCTCCAGACGCGCCCTGGCGACCTCCAGTCAGCGGTCTTTTGCGCACTATCTTTCTGTCGATCATCCATGATTTGGGCGTCCATTAACGGGAGATGCCCAGGCGCGGCACCGTATCGTGTGCGGCCATAAGCACAAATGGGCCTTTGCATCCTAAATTCTGCCGAGGCACGGCGCTCACACCTCTTGCAAGACGCTGACTGTTACTAATTTTTATTATTATTAATTTATAGGAGTGACACTTCTAAAAAATGTATGCACCCAAAAGGGAGGAAAACACAAGAAAAATAAAGAAAACTTAATACAATACGATAATTTTATTATTTTATAAAACTCAACATATTTGATTATCAAACAAATCAAATAAATATTTTTCCCATCAGATGCCACATGTTGAATTTAACTACTACCAATTGAGGACCTTGCAGCTAAAGGTAGGCAAGTCCAAATTTCAAAACTCTTGGGTATTTAAAAAAAATGTTTTTAAAAATTGATTGATGTACTTATGTCTTATCGTTATATGGTATTGTATAATATGAACATATATACACATTTTATTTTACTACGATTTTTTAAAGTTTGAATCTGCCTCCGTTTTGTACCAAGATTGAAGAAAAATACTACCCTATTTTGTATTAAGGATAATAAAACAGGTAAACACGGTTATTTTTTTATTTCAAGAATTAGTAATCAGTCCACAAAGAATTAAACAATCAAAAGAAATACAAAAACGAATGAGTGCTGAACAAAAAAAAAATTAAAGGTTAACTTCAGCTTGATCATCGTCGTCTTCGCTAGAAATATCATCTGTTGGTCCGACAGCTTCACTTTTAAGGGCCCTGTAGAAATATAGTTTATTTGGTGGAACATAGTTCTTTACCAACTGCATAACATCGTTGTATTTAGCCTTTTTCAACGGCAATGCATGATCATACAGCGGTTTCTGAGGCAGAACTGATAGTTGGGCTTGAGCATTTCTCATTATAGGAAAATAATCAAATACTGGCGTTCCCGTTGTAACACTGACTGCAATAGTTTCAATGTGGTCTTTACTATATTCAAAAATACGATATTGAGATATTTTGAATCGAATCTTCTCTGTATTTGTTATTACTTTTTTGAAATGACTCTCATAATGTTGGCTGAAGTTAAGTATCATATTTTGACTTGCATTTACAACTTATAAATTTGCGTAAATCGGACCAAAAATTAATATTCAAAAACTGAAGGTAGCCGAACTAACTATGACATTGGGACGTCAAACATCTCAGTCCCCCCCGTGACCATGGTTGCCGTAAAGCACCCGAAACGTCGGGAATTAAAAATAAGTAAAAGTAGTGAAATAAACGCGATAAAATCCGTAAATTTAGTTTTATTCAATGTGTAGTGTTCGCGTAAATTTAAGAAATCATTATTTGCATTTACAACTTTAAAATTTTTAGATGCTTGCGTAATACAATCGGCATATTCAGAAGTCGTAAATATGTAATATTTCCTTCTATTAAACTTTTCTATTACGCCGAAACACCGATCACACGGTAAGAAGCTGTGTCCTAGTTCTGGAAATCGATGAACAATCTTCTCAAAAGATGAACACCGCATAAGCGTATATAGATACTGAACTAAAGTCGAGTTCTTATTTTGTGCTGCTGCGTTATCAGAAAATAAATACAGTACTTTAACTGTGCTTGGTAAAATGTCATTTATGTAGTGATTTATAAAAGATATGACTTCGTTTGGTGATTTTTCGCCTATGGTTTCGTCATATAAATGAAAGTGAGCAATCCCTGTTTTTGCTGAATGAATACAAAAATTATATGCCCAAAGTTGACGTTTATAAAATGCTTCACCTGCTGGAATTTTAGGTGATGGCATATTCTGCTGATAATCAAATGTTAATACTTCGCATTCTTCATTATTAAGAGCAAGTTGACTCTTCTCTTTTAAATCAACAAAAAAAGTGTCGGCTTTGGCTTGATGAAGACTCTTCTCTATCTGTATTTGTTGGGTTTCATCGCTATCCAATGTCTTATCTTTTAGTTTGTTACTCAGCATGTCGCACTTCTTGCAAGTATCTGAACGAGGTGACTCAAAACTGTATTTAAAATTTTGTTTAAAGTATCTGTAGTAAAAATCAAATGATACTATAGGCTTAGCAGATGCTTCAAGACCAAGCTCATGCTTTTTCAAATATAACTCGTACATCCTTTTAATGTTCACGCTGGAGACAGATAATAACGTGAGCTTTTATTTCTACTGTAGTGTGACTCTCGACGTGGGAAACTTCTAATATGAGAGTCAACTTTAGAAACCCATTCACTTGGAATACGATTTGGTCTATTTTGATGTTTTCCACGATTAGACTGAGCTGGTGTAGTTACAGTAGGATCCCAATACTCTTTAGCAACATTGTTTACACGCTTTTTGGATATTCCATGGATAGATGCAAAGCCTTTTCTGCAAATTTGTATATTTCTATTTCCTAATTTAATATAATATTTGTGTGAACAACTCCGTTTCTTCCCCGTACCAGTTTTAGATCTTTCCCTTTTAACATTCTCAGTTTTAATTAAACCGCCTAAGTATACGTTTTGCACATAGGTTTCTTCCAATTTATTAAAATTTTCCAATATTAGTTTCCTATCTTCTTCATTTATTTGAACAAAACACTTATACTTCTTACAACAACAATCCGGTCCAGTTTTTCTTTCGCCTATTTCACGGCCTTTATAGTTTAAATAGCCCTTTCCAGTAGCAATAGACTTCTTTATTACATTCCGTTTCCATTGTGATGGATTCGCGGATTTTCTTTTTTTCGGCGCTATGCCACTCGTCGATGGGCATGGATTATCTGTATTAAATTCATCCAAAATATTCATACCTTTATCGTTCGCCTCATTAGTTTGATTTTGAAATGTCAACAAACCAACTTAACAAAACAACAAAACAACCAACAACAAACAACAACAACAAAAATGATGTAATAATTTCATTTGTTGCAAGAAGGAGGCAGGTCCGGACCTGCTCCCTTCTTGCACCAAACAGAATAAGGTAGCAGATCCAAATTTTGTTACAGCGCGCTTGTTTGTCGTCGGATTTGCCTCCTAAATGCACCAAATCATAGCTAATTTTTTTGTTTAAAATGTAGGTGGAAAAAAAGGTAACGGTTAAAATTTGGATCTGCCCCTCTTTTGCTGCAAGGTCTTCAATTAATATTATACCGAAGTACAGTCTCATGTAATAAAATAATTATTTATCTCATTATATTTTGCGTAGGAAATGACCTAGTAATATTTCCTTACATTTGCATTATTTGCGTCGTAAACAATAAAATATATTATTCTTTTATTTATTTTTTGCACAATAATTTTAAACTAGTAAATTATACACTTTTTAAAAGGCGATAGTACTAATGAAAATATTAATAATGACTTAGATGAATTATCTTTGGCTTCGTGTTTGACATGCAACATTGATGACTGTGCTAATTTAATATATAACAAACAATCCTCTTTAAAATTAATAATACAAAATATAAGGAGCCTAAAACGTAATATACCACACTTACAAATTCTTCTGGATCGTGCAAAAGTGGATTGGGACCTAATTATATTTACAGAATGTTGGTGGCATAGCTATCCCTACATTCCCATACTACACGGATATAATTATGCTGCTACTACAATTAACAAAACACAAAACGAGGGAGTTGTAATTTACTATAAATCAAATAATAATTATTATATCTCAGAAATCAACCTAACAGATGCTAATTGTTTGCTTATAAAATTGAATGCTAATTCTGTCGTCCTTACAATATACCGCCCCCCAAGCGTAAAGAATACAAACGCTTTCTTTGAATCGTTAAATACTGTACTTATTGGGTTAGCACAATATAAAAATATAATATTAACAGAAGATATAATTATTGATATATCATCCACATCAAAAGACTCTAGAGCCCATATTTATCTTGATCTATTAGCCTCTCATGGTATGCTACCAGCTTTTAATGTCCCCACACATACCAATTCCTGTTTGGATCACATAATTTTAAAAACAACACAACCCGCACGTTGTCAAGTTGCTCACACTACCATCACAGATCATTATAGCGTAATCCTTAGCTTAAATTGGACGTGTAAAAATAGTTATCATACTAAAACCATTAATCAGTTTGACTATAAGGCCTTAGACTTAACTTTTAATGAACTAGATTTTACACCTATATACTCAATGCGAAATGTAAATGATGCTGTTACGTTTTTAATTAATATTCTAAATCAGGTTATTGACAAATGTACTAAAAATATAACGGTCTCGAGATGTAAACGAACTATTAAACCTTGGATAACTCGAGGCTTGCTAAAATGTATGAAAAATAGGGACAATTTACATATAAAATCAAGAAACCATCCTAATGACACAATTCTTAGAACAACCTACACAAGATGTAGGAATTTTTGTAATAACATACTCAAGAATGTAAAACATGAATATGAAAAGATGGAACTTCGTAAGGCTAAATGCAAACAGCAAAAAAACTGTGGGAAATAATAAAAAATATTACTCACACAACTAAAATCAAAGCTCCAGTTACATAACTTCTTTCTAATGATCCTAGGAAGTCGATTAATGACATAAATGAATATTTTGTAAACATAGGAAAGAATATAGTTGAGTCTATTCAAAAACCGCTCCACAAACTTATCCCTGGGCTCACCAGATATATCATCTAGTGACTCATTTGTATTACTTCCAGTGGATGATTCGGAAATCGAAACAATTATATCAAGGCTTAAAAATAACTGCGTATGACGGGACAATATTTCAAGTTCTCTTATAAAACGATACAAAAATATTCTTACAACTGTACTTACATATATTTGTAATTTATCTCTAAATAATGGAGTATTTCCTCATGAATTCAAACGTTCAATGATTCACCCTATTTATAAGAGTGGTAATAGGGACTGTGTTGATAATTATCGGCCCATTTCTGTACTGCCAGCATTTTCGAAAATTTTGGAAAAAGTCGTATATAATAGACTAGTCAGGTATCTTGAATCCAAAAATCTCCTGCCACATGCACAATTTGGTTTCAGAAATGGCAAAGCTACAAGTGACGTAGTTCATGATTTTGTGGTTTGGGTTTTTGGGTATACATATGGACGACAACAAAAAAGTAATAGCAATATTTTTTGATTTGGCTAGGGCATTTGACACGGTCTCTATTCCACTATTAATTCACAAATTATACAAGCTGGGAGTCAAAGGATCGCAATTGAAATTCTTTGAAAATTATCTCACTAACCGATCACAATGTGTTAAAATAGGAAATTGGATTAGTGATGATCTTCCCATTTCTCATGGCGTACCCAAGATAGTATTTTAGGTCCTACCCTGTTTTTTGCCTATATGAACAGCATGTGTCAGTTAAAATTGATAAATGGAACTCTTGTTTCTTATGCCCATGATACTGCGCTTTTATTCAGCGGTGATACACGGGACGAAGCATATTTGTATGCCAAAAAAGGCTCCAATGTAATTATGAACTGGCTAACACATAATAAATTAATGCTAAATCTCTCTCAATGTGTGATCCACTATCCACTAGATGGAGTGACGACCTGGTAAGACATGCAGGAAGTCGATGGATGCAGGTGGCTCAGGACCGTGCTTTGTGGCGTTACTTGGGGGAGGCCTATGTTCAGCAATGGACTTGTGAACGGTTTTAATGAGGATGAATGATAATGGCATTATATTAATATGATACATAAATAGAATGGACGTTACGGGCGGAGTCCATCTATCCATGGAGTCCATTCTATTTATTTAGGTATAGGTAGGGTATAGAAGTTTTATCGATATAATTTGGTACACTGTCTTATCCCTATTATTAGTTCCGTGGACGTGCACTTCTGCTGTCAGCGCCAAAATGGCGGCCAGTCCAGCGTACTTGTATATATAGAGGTCAGTGCCTACAGGACAATAAAGATTGTTATATGAATATCATCATCTCTCCTTAGAATGGAGATTAGAGAACAGGAGAGCGATCGGTGTAGAAAATAATGTCCCAGAAATATGGACAAAATAAGTGAGTTGCTGCAATCGCTAAGTTGTCTCAATAAAAGTGGGCTGTTGTGCACTAGTTTCAAATGATTGTAATATCATTAAAAGAAAAAAAACGAAATTATTATTATTTATTAATAAATAAATTATTATTTTTATAATTTTAATTATTATAAATTATTACAAATATTAATTATTAGTTTCTTTTTATCATTAATTAAAAAATTACTTCGTAGAAACTACTTACATGCGGACTATGCCTTAGCACGTAACGATCGTTCTCCTGTCCTGTAACCTCCATGCTCCTTAGGTTGTAGACGTTTTTTAGCTTTTTATATACCATAGACAATTCCAGTGATGGTTAGGTACTATAGAAAATAACAGCCTTAGCGACGTAGACAGAGAATACTATAGACACCGGCAAAGCGTGTCGCGAAAAGAGTCAAAAAATTCGTCTCTATATTTAGGGTTACAAGTGTGAGGAAAAATTTACCCCACAATTAGTTCTAAAATAAGAAATGAGTACGTAACCAAGCCTGAAAGAAGACACTGCTATTTCCGATTATCATCGATAGGTTTATTTATAGGACTAGCTGTTACCCGCGGCTTCACCCGCATGGGTACTGGGAAATGCACTATCCATTGCTTTTTGAATTGAAATAAAACTGAGTTTTATAGATTTGACAGAGATGCAGCCATTAAAAGGAAACAGCAAAATTGATTCGTCAGCCTATTTAAATATTTTGAAACGCAGCGTATAGGAAAGCATGAAAATAGCCTGTTTATTCCATATGGAAATGAGATATTTTTTTAATTAAAGGAAACTGAGCATAATTATCCGTCAGGGATGCAGACTTTTGAAAAGAAACTGAGCTAAATTGATTCGTCAGAGATGTAGTTTTCTGAATTGAAAGGAAACTGAGGCAAATAAAAGATCCGTCAGAGATGCAGCCTTTTGAGTTGAAAGATAACTGAACTTAATAGGTCCGTCAGAGGTACAGCATTTGGAATTGAAAAGAAACTGAGCTAAATAGGAAATTTTGAATTGAAAGGGAAGATCTGTGGGAATTCTGATTAATTAATTGTGGGAATTATGGAAAAAAACTAACTGAACACTATTTTAAGACGCTACTGTACATTTTTCCATTCGGGGAAAGAATGTAGAGATACCGGGCATTAGACACACGCGAACATGCTACATACAGCTGACCATGCGAGAAGCACAAGTTGATCCCCGCTACGTGTAACGTTTGACCTTGCGCTTTATTAATTATCATTGCAAAACTGAGCTTAATGGGGAACTGCAACCTTTTGAATTGAAAAGGAAGATCTGTGAGAATTATAGGGATACGTGGTATAATAACATTTTCACCTTTTCCTACGCCTGTCAAAATTGTAGTACCGATTATGTTCCGTCCAAGATGTGTCCACGCAGCCTTGTCCAGTTACATAACCGAGGAGCATCTAAATTTCGGATTAGCATGACTGGGACGCCTAATTTTAATTGAAGCTTATGTGATGGCACACCTGACAACTCTAGAGAATTTAGAAACTCTACGGGATATGAAGTGCTCTGTTCTGTGTCCATAACTGAGTCTACTGACAAATACTCTGTTATTTCTCCTGCTACTTCCTGCTCTCAATTTTTGGTGCAAGAATCGCCCTTTCACATAACCATTTGTCTTCATGCATGTTGTTCGTTAAATCTGAAAAAATGCTCGCAATTAATTCGGAATGACTCTGTACTAAATTACAAAAATCTCTCGTCAATTTAACGCAGCCCTCAGCATCCGTTTCCAACCGCCCA